ATTGCAGTACAGTAATTAATTATGACATTTCTACTATAACCAAAGTTGTACATCGGCGATACCGTGAGAGACACGCAAGAACGATAAAATAAGAGTGCAATTTACATGTGAATGGTTAATTGGAGTACAATGTATTGTGAGTGTTATATGAAACTAATGATCCATTTGTCATAAATAAAGTACTAACCTTTAGTTGCATCTGTTCCACCCGGTATGTTAACCACTATCCTGCAGACACAAATGAATAAAACGCACGCAGTGAGTGCAGTAGGAATCAGTTAATAAATAAAGAAGCTGGACGATGATGATATCCATATCTCCAGGGTGTGTGCGTGTGGAGATCTATGGAATTGACACTTGTTTAATTGTGAGTCAGGTGCCAAATCATACATACATACATAGCAGCAGCAGCAGTAGTAGTACATACCAGTGGAGGTACTCCTTCATGGTGGGCTCGCTAGGGCTAGGCGCGTCAGGATCCGTCATCACCTGCAGCAAGCAAGCATGTACATCCATGGATCACCATGCACACACATACATAAATCACCATCAAGTTCCCATGCATATGAACAAGTGTGTATATCCACGAGTCCATCGAGGGCGGGCAGGTGGGGCCGGCCGGGGCGGGACGTACGAGGGTGTAGAGGTCGTTGCGGCGGCCGGAGATGCGGACGAGCGGCTGGTCGGCGGCCAGGGAGGGCTTCACGTGGCAGCCGTTGCTGAGGTCCCTGGCGCCGTAGGCCACGGCCATGGCCACCGACGGCACGAACATGTCCACCACCTCGCCGATCACCCGCCCCACCACCAGCGGATCAACGAACCGGGACATGTTTGCTCCTCTGCTCTGCTCTTTTCTCCTTGTCTTCCCCTGCTTTTCTCTGGACGAGAGCCAACGACGACCTGTACAAATGACGCATGGCTGGGTGTATATATGGCTTACGCTAAGCAGGTGGCTAGCGCGGCGGATTATTAACTGAGGGTTTTGTCACCGGGGTTGGGACTTGGGCTACCCTCCTTGGCGCCATGCGTGCATGCAGCCTACGCATACGTATCGATCGCTGATGCGTGCATGGATCATGCATGTACAGGTCAAGCGACACGTAGCCGGCACATGGCCTCTGGAAGGACCGGCGTGCCACGTGTGGGGTGATGATCTGGGTGCGTACTGCGTGCCTCTCCCGCCAGCGAGACAGACAATCCGCTGGCTGGATCCACCAGCTGCGTGTGTACTGCGCATGCAATGCAGTGAGCCAGTTGTTTACAATCACTCGCCGAGCCAGATGCATGCACTTCCTTAGTCTGGGTTTTTTCTTTCTCACACGGTACATAAAAGACGCTCATAGATACGCACATATGCTCATCTCTATGAATCAAGAAAAAAAATAGCGCGTTATAGCGGCGCTAATAGCGCGCTATAGCGTTTCTGAAAACTAAACGCTACGCTATGCAGATTTCACCCGCTACGGCGCTATTTGCGCTAAATATGGCGATTGCATGCTACAGCGCGTATCGATGCTATTTTTTCGACGGCGTTTTTTTCCATACGAATTTTTCATCAGCCCACTATACTTTTGGGCTTTCTGGCCCAGTAACCAAGCATATCTTCTCCTCCAGCCGAGCGAACCCTAACCAACCTACCGAGCGAGCCCTTCCCAAATCGAACGAGGCGACGGTGTCAGCGGCGGCCGCCGGTGCTTCGCCCGTCTCCTCCAGCCACGGCCAGCCGCCTCCTCGGGTCGCCGTCGCCTCCTCGGGTCTTCGTCGCCTCCTCTAATCCTCTTCTCGGGTCGCTGTCGCCTCCTCTTGCTCCACAACTCGATGTCGGCGCCAGCTTCAGCGGCGGCGAACCAGGAACCAGGTAAGAGTTGCTTCAATTCATAAATCTTAAATTCTTAATTAGTCAATCTTGATTCTTGATGAACACCGATCCAAAAATAGTCAATCCTAAATTCGTAATTAGTCAATCTTAAATTGTCCATGACTTGTGTAGTTGTGTCTACTATCTAGTACTCTACTTTCTAATTAAATCATCTCCATGTTAACTTTGTTAGTAGTAAGCTAGTAAGTACTTGCTGATTGCTCTCAGTCTCAGACTCTCAGTGCTTGTACCTTGTAGTTAGTACAACCAGAGTTGGTACTTTCCAAATTTGGTACTAGTAAATGTAAATAAATACTTTGCTGCAATCATATGTTCCTTATTTGCAAGCCAGTTAAAATTTCTGAAATACTTTGTTGTATTCATGAATGTAGGCGGTGATGTGTCAAGCACAGCATCAACAGCTACACAGGGAGAAGGAGCACAGGTTGTTCCTAGATCAAAAGATCCAGCATGGAAATATTGCACATGTCTGGACATCAGCAAGAAGAACTGTCTAAGATGCATATTCTGCGATCATTTGTCCAGCAATGGCACTAGTCGAATCAAATTGCACCTTGCATGCATTCCTAAGTCTGGTGTGGATCACTGTGAGAAAGTGCCAGCTGATGTCAAAGAGGAGATCCTTCAGTACTTGACAAAGAAGGGTGACAAAAAGGCAGCCAAGCTTATGGAGCAGAAGAGACGCAGAAATGGAGTTGACTTGAGCCACTTGGAGGGGGAAGAACAAGCTACAAGTGATGAAGATGGACTAAACCATTCTGCACTTGTGCTTCAGCCATCGAGATCAACAAGAAATAAATCTAAATCTTCAAGTGGCCCTATGGACAAATACTGTGAATTAACTCCCGAAGAGCTTGTTGCCGCAAGGAAGAGGAAACGTGGTGCTAACACGATCCAGGGGAAGCTGACAACTGAGAAGAGAGAACAAAAAAGGGCTCGTGCTTGTGAGTACATCTGCCAGTGGTTCTATGAAGCTTGCATTCCATTCAACGTAGTCACACTTCCCAGCTTTGACCTCATGCTTCAGTCAATTGGACAGTATAGTGATGACTTGGACGGTCCTACTCCTTATGAAATGGGTGGCCCAATATTGATGAAGATGAAGAAAAGAGTTCAGGAGTCCTTCAATGCACACAGGAAGACTTGGGAGCTTACTGGATGTATAATCATGACAGATGCATGGACTGACATAAGAGGAAGAGGGGTAATGAATCTTGTAGTTCATAGTGCTCATGGTGTGGTGTTTCTTAATTCTGTGGACTGTTCAGCCGTGAAGAAAGATGGGAAGTACATCTTTGAGCTTGTTGATAGATGCATAGAAGAGGTTGGTGAGAAGCATGTAGTTCAAGTTGTGACTGATAATGCAAGTGTTAATCAAGCGGCATCAACCTTGTTGAAAGCAAAGCGCCCCAACATATTTTGGAATGGTTGTGCTGCCCATTCTATTGATCTGATGTTAGAGGATATTGGCAAGCTTAAAAAAGTGGACTCTACTATGTCACTGTTTTCCTTTGTGCACACACTAGAGTTTTGTATCTAATGAGGGAATTCCTTGGGAAAGATCTGGTGAGGTCTAGCATTACAAGGTTTGCTACAGCTTACTTGAACTTGAAAAGCATGCTGGACAACAAGAAAGAACTGCAGAAGCTATTCAGATTAGATCAGATGGATGAAATGGGTTACTTAAAAAAGGTGAAAGAACGTGATTCCAACCGAAGTGTGCGCTCTGAAATTTTTGGACAGGAGTAGAACGTGCTGTCAACTTCTTTGAGCCTTTGGCTAATTTGCTGCGGCGAATGGACAGCGATGTACCAGCTATGGGTTTCATATATGGTGCTTTTTTGGATGCAAAGAAGGAGATTGCAGCTAGATTTGACAATGAGGAGGCTAGTATCCAGGAAGTGCTACACATTATTGATAAGAGATGGGACAACAAATTGAAGGGGCCCCTACATAGGTCCGGATACTTCTTAAACCCATACTACTACTATGAAAACAAGCTGGAGATTGAGTTGGATGGAACATTTAAAGATGGCCTTGTTGTTTGCATGGAGAAGATGGTTAGAGGTGGTAAGAAGGAAGATATAATGACAGTTGAGTGTCAGGCATATCAAAATGAAGAGGGGTCGTTTGGAAGGGACAGTGCTAAAAGGCAGCGGAGAAACAAGAACTTTGATCCAGGTAAAGAACTAAACATTTACATTGTTGAAATAAGATGTGTAGGCTGCAATGCGAATTAGATGTTGCAGCTTTGTTAACTGTTATTTGTTACTTGTTGATGCAGCTGAATGGTGGTCCAATGATGGATCAAGTGCACCAAATCTCAGGGTACTGGCTATGCGGATTTTGAGCTTGACATGCAGCTCATCAGCTTGTGAGAGAAACTTCAGTGTTTTTCAGCAGGTAAGAATGTAGTACAAAGTACAAACTGTCAACATATCCTTTATATGCACATATGTTTCTTTTTCTTACTGATGTTTATTTACTTGCAATGTACAATCAGGTTCAAGGCAGCAAAAGGCGCAACAGGCTACTTCATGACAAAATGAGAGATCTTGTCTTCATTAAGGCCAACTCCCAACTTGAACAAAAGAGAATGAACAAAGACAAGGATCCACTTGTGGACAGAACACGTGCAGATGTTGTGGAAGATGAAGATAACGAGTGGATCACAGGAATTGTGCCGGTTCCAGTTGTGGATACTGCAGATGAACCTGAAGAAGAACCAATACCACAACCGAGAGCAAGAGTTGTTGCATCAAAAAGAAATAAAGCTCGTCAGCCTAGGAAGAAGTTGCTCCCAGTTTTTCGTGATGATGAGCTGCAATCTGTGGGTTCTTCTGATTCGGATGATGATGCCATGGCAGCAAGTTCATCTGATTCTGATTGAGCTTCTGCATCGTTGTTGGCTGGCTCCTAAAGTCCTAAGTCCTTATTTCTGCTATTCTGGACCTTGCTTGTAGGCTGTTTAATTTATCCGTCTACTTTGTTTGTCTGAAATCTGAATATATGAACTCTGAACAGTGCTATATGCCTATATCTGGACCATGCTTTGTTATCTGAACAATGTTTTAGCCTTGGTTTTAGCTGCTGAAATCTGTCATTTGTGTTGATATATCTGTCATTTGTATGCTATATGCTGAAATCTGAATAATGTTTTGTGAAACGCTATTTTGCAAAATAGCGCGCTAATAGCACCCTATTTCGTTTATAGCGTTTTTTTGAAGGTTGCGCTATTTCAAATAGCGCGCTATTTTTTTCATTGCTATGAATGCATGTACGCACATCTTATCTTCATGATCACCTCTGAGAGGCTGAGCCGGCATATTATCTTGAGATTGATGAAGTCGTCACGGAGGACTTCGTAGTCAACGGGAACCATGCTCACTCCGAAGCGGCGCTTGCAGCTGATAGAGGAGATCCGGACTAGGCGTGATGCTCGAATCGCCGTCGTCCTAGTTCCGGATTCGCTATAGCCGGGTGAGGAGGAGGACGCGGCCATGGAGGAGGGGCAGAGCCGAAGGAGGAGGACGCAACCATGGAGGAGGACCGGAGCCGGAGGCGGCCGCCATAGAGGAGCAGGAGGCAGAGACAGAGGAGGAGGGGAAGGTGGCGGCCATAGAGAAGGAAGAGGCAGAGGAGGCAGATCTGGCGCATGCGGGCTTCGACATGGCCGACGCTATGGCGGAGTTTGAGGTGGCCAAGTGAAAAAGGCGGCGGAGGTGGAGTCCAACCGTCGTTTGCTGCACCAGTGGAAAGCGAAGATCGACAAGCTCCTCACTCACATGAAGTCCGACGAGGAGCCGGGCATCACTTGGCTCTAGTTTTCCACTCCCTCTAGTTTTTCACTCTCCATATTAATTTTATCCTAAGTCAACTTCATGAAGTTTGACCAAGTTTATAAAAAATAATATGAATATTCTTTATCTAATAATAAAGCAAATTGGGTTTCTTTTGTCCGTCATGGCATTTTTTAGAAAAGTCCCTCTATTTCAAAGAATTCAACCCGTAGTCCTGTTTTAAGTGAAAACGAATCGTTATTTTCGTATTTTACACAAAAGTTCCCGTCTTTTCTTAAAATCAACCCGCCATCCGGTTTAAATCACACCCAAACCGTTATTTTACATTTTTCGAAACCCCCGTGATGTTTTAGGTAATTCATCCGTGGATCATATTTAAGTCAAACAAATGCTTTTTAAAATCATCCATATCTTTTAAACCATAACTCCAATTTGAACATGTCATATATGAAATTTGATTAAAAATATCTAGAATATGAATATGAGATTATTTTTACCTGTTAAGTATTTTTAAATATTATTTTGGAATATATTTGAGTCAGACCAAATGATTTTCTAAATTATCTGCATCTTTTAAAACGTAACTTCGATTTTAACATATTATATATGAAATTTTATTAGAAAAATGTGTGGAATCTAAATATGATGTTAATTTTACCTATTAAATATTTTTAAAATATTTTTATGGAAGCAAACTTATAATTTATAGCGCAAGATCCGTTTATTTCATACTGGCGGCGATCTAGATTGCAAATAAACACCCCACTATAACCATATAGGGAAAAGAAAACATCGATAACTACACATGCATACCTCTGAAAAATGTCGCAGGGGAAAACAGCAGATTTCTCATCGCGAGAGTGAGAGAAAGCGAGAGAGAGAGAGAGACGGGGAGAGAGAGAGGAGAGAGAGGGAGAGAGAGACGTCTTAGGATTAACCATATTCAACACACGTTTTTTGTTGTTTTGTGTGAACACCGAGGCCATCGCCGGCGAGGGTGAGAAGGAGGATAAGCGGCAACACAAATATGATGCCTTGCAAAAATAAAGGAGATGGACCTATTGTGGTCTTGAGTGATGGTTGTTGAGTTAAGAGCGTGTGTTATGTTTTCTCTCCCGTTGCAACGCACGGGCTCTTTATACCTAATAATAATAATAATAATAATAATAATAATAATAATAATAATAATAATAATAATAATAAAGCAAATTGGGTTTCTTTCATCCGTCATGGCATTTTCAGAAAAGTCTCTCTATTTCAGAGAATTCAACCTGCAGTCCTGTTTTAAGTTAAAACGAATCGTTATATTCGTATTTTACACAAAAGTCCTTGTCTTTTCTTGAAATCAACCCGCCGTCCGGATTTAAGTCACATCCGAACCGTTATTTTACATTTTTCGAAAAAAAACCTAATGTTTTAGGTAATTCATCCTTGGATCATATTTAAGTCAAACAAATGATTTTTAAAATCATCCATATCGTTTAAACCGTAACTCCGATTTGAACGTGTTATATATGAAATTTGATTAGAAAAATATGTAGAATATGAATATAAGATTATTTTTACCTATTAAGTATTTCTAAATATTATTTTGGAATATATTTGAGTCAAACCAAATGATTTTCTAAATTATCTGTATCTTTTAAACCGTAACTTTAATTTTAACATATTATATATGAAATTTTATTAGAAAAATGTGTGGAATCTAAATATGAAGTTAATTTTACATGTTAAATATTTTTAAAATATTGTTATGGAAGCAAAATTATAATTTATAGCGCAAGATTCGTTTTTTTCATACCGGCGGTGATCCAGATTGCAAATAAACACCCACTGTAACCATACGGAAAAGAAAATATCAATAACTACACATGCATACCTCTGAAAAATGTCGCAGGGGAAAACAACAGATTTCTCATCGCGACAGTGAGAGAGAGAGGGGGGGAGGGAGGGAGAAGGAGAGGGAGGAGAGAGGGAGAGAGAGACGTCTTAGGATTAACCATATTTAACACACATTTTTTGTTGTTTTGTGTGACCACTGAGGCCATCGCCGACGAGGGTGAGAAGGAGGATAAGCGGCAACACAAATATGATGCCTCGCAAAAATAAAGGAGATTGACCTATTGTGGTCTTGAGTGATGGTTGTTGAGTTAAGAGCGTGTGTTATGTTTTCTCTCCCGTTGCAACGCACGGGCTCTTTTGCTAGTTTATAATAAAAATGTATATGATGTGAAGATATATTCAATAATGAACCCAATGATCTTAATTTGGTATTAGAGATGTTAATAAAAAATATATAAACTTGGTCGTAGATAAAAAGTTTGATTTAAGAAAAAACTAATATGTAGTAAATAAAAACAGAGGGTAATAAATAAGCATGATAATCATGCAAACTGCATAGCTATCAATCACTTTGTAGTAAAATTATGTTAATAGCAATATTTGGAACCTTATTGGAAAAATAATTATTGCTACAATATTTAGATACATTATAATCGAGCACTTTTCCAGCCCTCTCAGGCTATTAGCATCTCAACCATCGGATCTACAGTTTTAGGCGTTTTTGGCCGTTGGATGCACCTTCCACTCTGCTAGGAGCGCTAAACGGATTGGGACGATGCTCCGGCAACAAAATCAGCGATCTACTGTTGTTTGGGCCTGCTGGGCCCGTGTTATCCAATTTCTTTCCGTCGCTTCATCGCAAGTAAAAAAAGGGAATCATCCACTGCATATACGCACGCATTGCGGCTAGGCAAAGCAGCAGGTACGAGGCGAGGGCTTCTCCCCTAAAAGAATGAGGCGAGCGCGTTACACCTTCTTGGACCTCTACTGCTTTCAAATTAGCTCAATACAAGGTGAAGTTATTTAGATCTGGTAGCACCAGTGGATTGCATGTATAAATTATATGATGCATTATCATTTTGAGGAAGACATGCAATATTGACATGGTGGTACAAGGCGGCACATTCTGTTTCAGATCAGCATGCTATTACGTGATATTATTGTCCTTTATGTTTTTTTTCTGCTTAGATACTTCAACACTTACAACTTGATGATGTCCACAGTTTGACTAATCAGACAAAAAGAGCTTGCTAATTTACATAGGAAAATAAGATAAATTCCATGATGTACTTTTTGCTTAAGAGTTATGTTGATACAGCGAAAAAGAGGGCAAAACAAGCACCGTTCTGCAATTAAATTTCTAAATAGTCGCGGACACAATTTACACGGTGTACTACTACTGAAAATGCTAAAAAATTCATGTATGTATATGGGTTCACAAGTGAAGGAGATAATTTTATCGGAATTCTTATTTTGAGATGGTTCAATGAAACATCATCATTATTTGTTACTAAAAAAATTGCATGTCGGCGGATCGGTTTTGAATCTAAATAATTTCCCTAACAGTGATGTCGTGCCATTATACTGTTCAAATTTTTTTTCAATATTTTTCACCGTTTGTTCTTGGGGCACAGCAACAAAACACATTTTTTTTACTGACAAAGAAGTAGCTTAATGAAAATTTCACCTTCATATTCAGCGCATCTGCATATACATTAATAAAACTGAATATCATTTTATTGCCAAAATAGATGGGCGCGGCAATGCGCGCCACTATGGTCTAGTGATATCAACACTGACACACAAATGATAATTATGAGGTTTTTTCATAAAAATAATCAATGAAGGCTAAAAGCAAGGTGCGCTCTTTTGTAATGGATTTTTTTTCTGGAGTTGAGATAGCTCATCATATATATGTATGATATGAACTTTTAAGGAATAAATATGATGTGCGTTCTCTACTTCGCCTTTTTCTCTTAAGTTATAATTCACCTTTCTTATGTTTATACTGATTTTTTTTACTTCATCGTAACTCATATTATGATCTTTGTAAATGACATACATTATTTTACATAATAACTTAAGATACCGTTTTTGGTACATTTAGTATAATTAACAATGTAAAGACGATAATGCATATTTATGTACATATTTTTGAAATATTCCAATGTTTTTCATTACAAATATGTTTTTATTGCTAAATTTTATTATAGTTTGTCGCCAAAAATATACCCCCTTCGTCCCATTT